CTTAACAGATAATTATTTTCAAGGTTAAATGCATGGCTCCACCCCCATTTTCTTCTCTTGCTTCCCTACCCAGCTAACATTCCAAAGTTCATCACTGAAATCACCCCTTGCAGCCACTTTCAATTCCTGTCACACCTGCAGTGCAAAATGCCAATCTTCGTTGACCTTGATCACCTGCCTGCTCTTTGCTGCCCTCCTAACAGCTGAATGTTACTGGCAGAAAAACCATACAATTAGCTCAGCTGATTAGTTTCACCTAAACTCATGACTCCAGCCCCAGCCAGGCATTCAACAACCCCCAGCAATCCTACCTTGTCTCCCACTGAGTCCTTGTCCTGCTGCCCAAGGTGAAATGTCCATCTCTCCTAAAACCGTTCACCACCTTTACGTAAAGTTGTTGGCTCTGCCTCAGACTTCACTGAGAAAACAGAAGCCATTGGAATGTAAAGCCCTATATTCTACCTACAATTTGTAAATCTCCTTGCACTTGTGCCCATATTCTCTGTCTTCTCTTCTGCTACAACACAAGTCTTCCTGCTCCCACCAAAGTCTTGAATTCCTTCTCACCTTCTCAAGAATTGTTCCTTTGCTAGTCTTATGTTTCTTCTGGATGAGCCTCTCCCTTTCTATTAGATATTCTCATTAGCCTACTTGAAAATGCTCATCTATCTCCCACAGTTTAAAAAAAGCCCTTCTTTGACCCCATCTCTCTCTCCAGCCACTACTAGGCTGTTTCTCTCCTCACTTTACAGCAAAACTTCCCTAACAAGCTACCTACATTCACCTCACTTCCCATTCTCTAATGCATTCCAATCTGGCTTCCAACCTCATAAGCCCTTGAAACTACTTGCCAAAACAGTCACCCCCATGTTGCTAAACCCAAATGGACATTTATCTATTGTGTTTAACTTCTAGGCAGCATCTGATAGAGGTGACCCTCTTTCTTGAACAGGATAAAATATTCACTCTCACACTTTAATGGCTAAGCCTTTTCAGTCTCCTTTGCCCAAACTTTAGCCATTGGAAGTGTTTTAGGATTTGATCTTAAGGCCTGGCCTCTAGGATCACAAATGATCTCAGCCAGTTCCATAACATCTGTATGCTGTTGTCTCCCAAAATCTATGTGCAGTCTAGACCACTCCTCCCTCTCAGCCCAACTGGAATATCCATTGCCTACTTACTCTCTCTACTTGGATTTATAACAAACATTTAAAAAAAATAACAGCTTCCACATCAAATTCCTGTTACCCACCCCTCCTCACCTGTTTCTTTTCCAGTCTTCTCCAACCAGCAAATGAGACCATTAGCCACCCAAGGCTTGGGCCAGAAACCTGAAGGCACCCTTGATTCCTCCATCTCCCTCCACAGCCAACCCACTAAGCAAATCCTCCTCCAAAATATACCTGAAACCTGCCATCTACTCTTCTCC